TACAAATACAAATACAACTATACAAATACAAATACAAATACAACTATACAAATACAAATACAAATACAAATACAAATACAACTATACAAATACAACTATACAAATACAACTATACAAATACAAATATCTATACATACATCATAGATCAGTTTATGTTAGTGTAAGAAGAAGATATGATACGACCGACTAAAAATAGAAGAAGCCGTTTAATACTTATCTGATTAGAAGTTTAGATGCAAAGATCAACAATGGAACATTAGAAAACAGAGATCTACAACTAGTCCGCTCCGACCGGTCAATTACTACATGAAGAATTAAAGCAATAAATATACTAGTATAAAATAAGTATAAAATAAGTATAAAATAAATATAAAATAAGTATAAAATAAGTATAAAATAAGTATAAAATAAGTATAACATATACTAGTATAAAATAAATGCATACAATAAGCATACATAAGTATATAACCATACAATAACCATACAATAAGTATACAAAATATTAACCCATACAATAAAATAAAGCATAAGCACTATTCTATACATCAACCATTCTTGGGTGTATGGGTGCGCATTGCACTCTTACTCTACTCTACTTACTCTACTACTCTACTTACTCTACTACTCTACTTACTTCATGTACTCTACTACTCTACTACTTCCTGCTGGAAGTGTTTGTGCTGGGAGTACTGAATTAACATCCCATTTCCAATGTTCTATTGCGCCTCCTGAAGTTGACAGGGACTAGGTAGATTGGGCTATTACGGAATAACGACGGTTTACTGTAACAGGTAAAGGCCGACTTAGTGGCTGGAAATAAAACGGCATTCTTTTCCGTCTTGCTAAGCGACATCAACACTAAATAATGGGGTGATGCATTCTCAGGGTATTTCACCGAAGCTTATTACTTGAAGTATTATTAACCTTTATACATTCAATACACTATATTGTGCGAGAGAAGGTATATACTGTACTATGCTATACCACTATACCATACCATACTATACCATACCTTACCATACTATTCTATTATATATAATATGGTTATATGTATAGTTGAAATATGTCAAGTATGCCGTGCCCAGCTAACATTTACGAAGGGTAGTGTGCATTTACCACAATACCAGGTTACATTGAAGCGGAATATCAATAGAGAAGTATATGAATATATATAAGAGAGTAATTAGTAAAATATGAAATAAAAAATCGAATTAAGTGAAAATGAATAATTATAATAGTGGTGGTAATAATAGTACGGATAATAGTACTAAAAAAGATGATCTAGCATCTCTTTTTCTACCAGATATCCTTCATCCATTACCTTCAAATAATATAAAACAAGAAGATATCAATTTTGATGATTCGTTAATGAATCAAAATTTTAATCTAAATATGATGGACTCTCATATTAATCATTATTCAAATTATATACCAATTGAAGCTTCTGCTCCGGTCTTAAATAATAAAAATTACCCCTTGGTAGATTATGATATGAACTATAATGAAGACCTACAAAAATTTAATCAGTTCCATTTACCCTTCCGTTTGTACGATCAGCAGCTGCAACAACAGCAAATACAGCCAGTGCAACAGCAGCAGCAGCCGCAAATCCAACCAGTACAACAACCAATACAGCCAGTTGAACTGATTGAGCTGGAACCAGTTCCAGCTAAAAAAAAAGCTAAACCATCGCCTACCCCTAATATAATGATTGACTATAAAATGTCCAAACTAACAAACTTACTTGACTTTACTCCTATTCCAGAAAATGAAGAGTTCAAAATACTAGATGATTCAAATAACGAAATTAAACTAAATATGACCGGATTCATGAATGGGAAATTCTTCACTAACGATAGCGATAATAATAACTATATTCAACTTAATCCTAATGAATCGGGGTCCAATTCCAAAATCGATCCTAAAGTCATTAGCTGCTACCGCCGGAACTTTATTCAATTATCATTAAACTTAAACTTGAGTAATTTCCAAAACGATTCCAATAAAATATTAAAATTACAAACAACCGAATACGGATATATAATCACTCGAGTCATTAAATGGTTTAAGATCGATATCAGTGCCAAAACCGTCTCCAATAATCCAAGATTGGTCCCCATCATCATCACCGATGATGAAGATAAAGTATCTTCAGTTAAAAATCATTCGAACGATTACGTAATCCCCGATCCAATAAAATCATCATCTTATATTATCCCAATTAATAAGATAAATCTTGAAAATAATACTTTTAATAATTACTATACTATTAAAAAATTACAATTTAAGAATGCCACTCCTCATAATGGGAATTTCACTTTCCAAAATTATTATAATTTAAAAATTAAACTAAGTGCCGTGGTGGCAGATATGTACTATGATGATTACGTTGACAAGAACCAAGAATTGAACATTGACGATAAGAATGAATTCACCTTGATGGAATTGGTGAGTAAACCAATTATAGTAAGAGGAAGAAACCCCAGTTTCTACTATGAAAGAAAAGATATTTTAATAAAGGGAAGAAATTTAAATCTGAAATCAAGTTTCCAAGATTCTGATGCAACTGAAATTGATTCAAATATTGAATCAAATAACGATTTCGACGATGCTTCTTCGGAAGATCTTCCAATTGGTAATGATAAATCTTTACCTCCATTAATGTATTCTGCTTTACAATCAAAAAATTCTAATAATAATAAATTAATTAATCAATCAAATAATAAATATAAATATTTCCCAATCCTGAATGTTTATTATTTACCTCCAATTAACGTGGTTTATTTTCCTCATGGTGCTCATCAACATAAACTATCAAATTCAAATTTAAATTTAGATCAAAATAAAATTGATTTAAACGATAAACAAATGGTACGCAAAAATTCAAACGTCTACTTTAAATAATCTTTTTTTTTAAATAACCTTAAATATTTGTATATTATGATATTATATTTACTTATTCTTTAACTAAAATAGAAGCAGCCCCCATACCAGTACCAATACACATGGAGGTTAATCCGATTTCTCCCTTCTTTAATAATCTCAAAATAGTAGCATATTGTCTTGCCCCAGTACATCCCAATGGATGTCCCAAAGCAATGGCACCACCATTTATATTCAATTTATCCTTTGGTACATTACAAGCTTCAGCAGAGTATAAACATTGTGCGGCAAAAGCTTCATTAATTTCAAAAACATCAACATCATCAACTTTTAATCCAGCCTTCTTCAAAACAGTTGGAATGGCCACTGCTGGACCAACCCCCATGATTTCTGGGGGAACCCCAACGGCAGAACAAAGAACAAATTTACCTTCAATTGGATATCCTTTTTCTTCAGCCAATGATCTCTTCATAAGTAAAACGGCAGCAGCACCATCGGAAACTTGGGATGCATTACCAGCATGAGTAACCCCATCCGATTTGAACGCAGGTTTTAATTTGGCCAACGATTGAGCAGTAACCCCCTTTCTTGGACCTTCATCAGTGTCAACAATAATCTTTTCATAGGTAACATTATCATCGTCATCTTCTTCGGCCAAAAAGGATTCAATGGCCAAAATTTCATCTTTGAAAGCCCCGGATTCAATGGCTTTGGCAGCCTTAGCATAAGAATCAGCAGCAAATTCATCTTGAACATTTCTAGGAATAGAGTACTTGGCGGCAACATTTTCATTAGTAATCCCCATTGGAATTAAACATTTGGCCATTTCAGCATTTTCTTTTAAATGATTATCAACTTTTGGAATAGCATCAGGACCATAGTTAGCACTCATTGATTCAACCCCAGCAGCCAAACCACAATCAATTTCCCCACATTTGATTTTATTGGCAATTTCACTGATAGCCATTAACCCAGAAGAACATTGTCTATTAAGAGCAATAAAAGCAGCAGAATTTGGAATACCGGCAGCCAAACATGCACCACGATGTTCAGAGGCACCAGCAGCACGGTTTAAAACATTACCAACAGCAACATCTTCAATCAATGAAGCATCAACGTTGGTCTTGGATAAAAATTGCTCCAAAAATTTGGTCAAAACATAATCAGAACCAACATCCTTCAATTTACCACGGCCCCCTTTGGTTAATGCTGTTCTATAAGCAGCAACAATGACTACATCATCGGGGTTTTTCTGTAAAAGAGATTGTTTAGAAGAAGGAGATAACTGACCTGCTAATTGATTTAATCTGTCCATTTTTATTAAAATACTATACTTAACCAAACCAATCAATAATTCGGCTGGAATGCCTTGCTTTAAATATAAAGTTTATAAATCATGTTCATGTCTAATCACTCCGCACAAAGCTAGCGTACTTGACTATTTGATTTTTTCAACCGAGCTGGGCCGAGGTACACTCCGGCCACGACATCACGACATTTCACCTTCCACCAGCTAATACTATAGTAAGCAGAGGAAGTAGAGTAGGTTGCAAACTTTGCCACAAGCATTGGCTTGATCTTTGTCTCTATGAAATTGTTCTTTATTCTTAGTCTTACTGTAACTGGTCTTGTCTAGTAACTGGTCTTACTGTAACTGGTCTTGTCTAGTAACTGGTCTTGTCTAGTGACTGGTCTTGTCTAGTGACTGGTCTTGTCTAGTGACTGATCTTGTCTACACTTACCACTAATCTTATAATCCGTGGATACCTGATATCACAAGCCTCGGATATGGAGGTGTGTTTGCAACCTTGTCTAGAGTTTAAGTAATTACAGGATTACAGAAGATAAACGACATTGTGTATTGGGTACGGAGGTCAGCCTCGGTTTACTCTTCTCTTTCAAAAGAGAAGATACCAATAAATGGCTCTACTTTATCGGGTCTTCCCTCAGGACATTTACCAGTAAATATCAAGGTTGGAACGTCTTCGTCGATCGAATGCTGAGCGTATTTATCTATGTCGTGTTTCGCTGTTTCACTAGAATTTTCATCGTTTAAATTTTTCCGGTCACTGGAAGGTAAAGTGAAGATCTTGGTGAAGTCGATTCTCAATGTTCCTTCTTCATCAACAACAACGTATAATTTATATTTTTGGTCGATTAAATCTTGGCTATCGTTGTAGTGGATTAATCCTTTCAGCGACCCAGTGATAAGTCCCATTGTCGAGCCAATCCCAATTATGTTGGTTCCCTTGATTTTGATGTAGAGCCCACTCAACCCAAACGGCGAGCAGTGTATTTCAAGATCACATTCATTGGCGTACTGGAATTGTATCTGTTGGTCCATCTTAACACCGTCCTAATGAATGAATAGTAATAGTGAACGTTTGTTGATTTTTACAAATTAGACCCGTACAATGAATATCGGTGTATTGGTAAGTACGCACTAAATACAATTATACAATGCACTTTTTCATGTTTTGCAAGTACAAGCTATACTCGTCCACCAGTCCTAGTTTGACTAGGTTGTTGGCCAAGTAGTTCACCACGTAGACCAAGTTCTGGTGAGCCGGTTGGGCAAAGTTGCTCTTGTTGAAGTTGGAGATCATTTTTTTTTCGAAAAATTTGGCTTCCTCCACTAACGAGATTAACTTGGTGGATTCCTGATTTTCAAGGGATTTCTTATACTTGAGCATTAGATTGGTGTTGAAGTTGTTCAACGGCGAAAGCGTCACTGGGGTGCCCGGGTAGTCGATGGGGATGTGCATGATGATTTTTAATTCTCGATTGAATCTCCATAATTCGGGGATTCCTCCCTCGTAGATCGGTATACTAACTTGGTACTTATTTTCGTTAGAGTTCTTACTGAATAGTTTGAGGTGTGAGCCTAGCTTGTTCATCATTTCTTCAATGAGCTCGTTACGTCTTCTGATGACCCCGGCATCAACCTCTTTATTCTGTTGTTGTTCTTCATGAATCTTCTTCTGTCTTAGTTTCTCTTGTTGTCTCTTCTGCTGCTCTTGCTCTTGTTTAGCGAGCATTTCGTTCTTCTTTTTATCCTCTTTGAAAGTTATAAACTTGAATGTTTGCTTTTTCTCTTCTTTTAAAAATTCCTCTAAATACTTATCAAGAGTCTTGATTTGCGATAGTAACCCTTTACCTTCCACCAAATCAATGGCAATCTCCTCGTCTTCCTCTTCCCTACTGATCACATACTTTTCTCCGGCAATAGCAATACCGGCGATTTTTTTGAATCCAACCTCGACATTAACCGCAAATCCTCGAGGTATTTCTTCGTTCAAAACAACAATCGTAGGTAATGCATCTTTCCGATAAGGATAATTTCCTGGGATTCGAAGACTGAAATTTAACGTCTCCACATCGTACGGGAAATCAGGATCACTGGGTTGAAGTCGAAATGATAAATAAATATCAACCGTTGCATCATTAGTCATCATTTGGTGGATATATTCTTTCAAAGGACTGGTGATCTTGGATGTTGGAACCCCATTTATAGTGATCGGATGGTGATATTTCAACAATTTAATAATCTCTAAATACCTATAATCATTTTTAACCTCCTTGACCTTGGGTGCTTTAGACCGAGTCTTGGACTTAGATCCGGTCGGTGGCTTCTTTGGCGACTTATTAGCCTTGTTCGACAGCTCGGGAGTCAGCGATCTCGATTTGGGCCTTCTGGGAGCCCTTTTCGGCTTAGCTTCGTTTCTAGTTGGTTCCGACATTATTGGCTATGAAGAGTAGTTTTTTTTTTCATGAATCATTTTTTTCTCAACTCATCAATAAGTAATAAAACACCAATCACCCACCACCAGACCCTGATGAAAAGTAGGCTAAGCAGGATAAAACCCATAATTGTCCAGCATATCGATCCCGAGTTTCTTGTAATCAATAAACCCAGTGGGATTAAAAGCTATGGCTACGATAAACCAGATAGTGTAATCCCGCAGTTGAATAGACTCTTTCAGTCAAACGAATTTCGCTTAGTTCAAAGATTAGATCGGTTTGTTAGTGGCGGGTTGGTGGTTGCCAGAACGGCCGGGTTTGCTAAATGGTACAGTAAAGTATTAAGTGAAGGAAACGAGATATCACGGCAGTATATAGGATTAATTGCCATACCTCAAGAATACCAAAGTATTCAAAATTATATTAGACAAAAACTACAGTATAAATTGGGGGACTCCCAATATAAAGGATTGGTGTTTGCGAACGAACAGTTGGACCAAGGTGAAATCAGCCATGACGTCGAAGTATTGGCAAGAGATGATCGAAACAAATCAGCTAAAAAACGGGCATTACAACATAGTGACCAAAGTCGAGTCTTTGAGCAAAAAAATGCTTTCACCAAGTTTAAAATTATCACCGAGTTAGTGAGAAAGGACGATCGGTTCCCTCTATTCAAAGATAAGTTGATAGTGCCAATTGCAATCCAGTTGAAAACTGGTCGTAAAAATCAAATAAGAGACCATATTATCCAAGCATTCAAAGTCCCCTTACTAAATGACGAAAACTTTGTTAAATTCAAAGCCATCTCAATTAACAAGGATTTGAAGGTCAATAGCGAACTTTATGAAACCAACCAGATCGGACTCCACTGTGCTCGGATTGCATTCAATAATCAAGAGTTTGTAATCCCCCTTCATAAAGAGGATAATCAGCTATTCAGATCACTAACCAACAAACACGGGGTATTGAACCCCAAAGTCATTCATGCAATGCGATCTTTGAATTCGTCTGCTGCCTCTTTCTAGATCCCGGTTGGTGATGACCTGGAGGCAGCTGATAATAAATATTTCCGTTTGCAGCCATCGGCCCTCTTGCACAACTGTATTTGAGTACGCGTATGGCCCTTGACTTACTTCTACATTAACACAAACCATGCACCGAACGGTTACTACCTCCACCTATCCAACCGTATCTACCTGAATACACCAGCAAGAAGACTAGTAAAGTAGTAGAAGAGTAGAGAGTATAGGCCAAACGCGTGATAATGTATGGGTGTACGGGCCTGGTGATGGGTTCCCCCCTTAACCCTAATTGGGATTACGTAGTGCTCACCCCTCCTCTGATAAGATAGCGTTTAGCGATATAAGCTTCTTTAGCTTGAGCAGTTGTATTATTGGTGATACTTGTTACTAGTTATTGGTGATACTCGGTAATACTTATTGGATATAGCTATTGGACACGGTTATTGGATATAGTTATTGGATATAGTTATTGGTAATTGTATTGGTAATTGTTGGTAATCTGTTATCGGTAGTTTTTGTTGCGGTAGGTTGTTAGCTGATTATGTCAAATTCAAACCACGTCAATCAACGACTGAATAAGGTGGTGGTGCAAAGTGAAGAGATGTCGGTATCTCCTTATCCAAATAATTCATTGAAAAAACTACTTAATTCACATTCATCTATTTATGAAGCGCTAGCCAACCCAGAACTTGAATTGAACTCCTTGAGTCCAAGAATGTCAAATCACCCACAGCAAATTGTTAATAAGGAAAGATTTCCTACTCCCGTTGATCAATTACAGTCTAAAAACCTTGATTTTTCCTGGCAATCAATCAATTATACCGAATCATTACAAAATTTGAAAAAAATCAATTCTGCTAAAGATGACCATAAAACAACTTCAATCTTGTCAATTACTTCGGATGAAGATGATCATTTGGTGAAAATCCCAAGCGCTAGGTCGAAAAACTATAATAGTGTCATGGTTTTTGAAACTGATGAAGAAGATGATGGATTTGATGATATTGCCAAATTTACAACTAATGAATCGTGTGTCTCGTATGATGAAGATGAAGAAGTTGAGGATGATGAAAAAACCCTCAACGTTAACTTGAACCATACTTTACAATCGTTTGTTATGCCTAAAATGTCAATTTCGGATAAATGTTTCCAAATCACCATTTTAAGTTCCAAAGATTTCATTTATCATCAAGAAACAATCAATTTACTTGAAGATATGAGAAATAATTGGGACTTTGATTCCTCTTACTCCATTCACGTTAATCATTTATCGCTAGACTCTGGTGGCAAAACTGATTATAACCTTATTCAAAATTCAAATTTAATCTTTATAATTAATGATGGTTCAATGGTTTTCACCGATTTATTAACTCTTAATGAAGATTATCCAAAAGTTACCGTTATTAATATGATGACGGTTAATTATTTTGCTAATTTATTCGATCTTATTAACATCTTAAAACCTTATCAAGTTTGGAAATCTTCGTCCCTAAAACAAACTAAATTAATTAATAATATGAAAAATTTTATCAAAAATGAATTATCGGATGATTTTATTTGTCAAGATGGTGGTGGTGGTAAGTACAACCTGGAATATTGTAAAAAATTAGCTCACCAACATTCAAAACATTCTAATTCAATTTATTCTAATTTGGTTCCAAACAAAAAACTGAATTATAAAAATATTGAAAAGCAATTTAAATCAGATTTACAATATTCAAGTATTTATGAAAATATCGATCCTTTAAAATTATCTTCAAATTTTTATAAAATTGATATCCTATACGCTATATTGGGAAAGCTTTTCCATAAATTATATTCATCTCCTCGTCAGCAAGCACTTCCTCCTATTCCAAATGATACTCCTTCTTCTTCCTTGAGCAATACTAAAAATATTTGGCTTTTTTGCAGCTTTTCCCTAGGTATTGGTTTGGGAATCAGTATTGCCAGTGGGGCAATCACGGTCATTGGCCTCTATATCTATGATCAATTATACTATACTTTCAATACAAGTCGCGAATCATTGGCTTCACCAAGTCCCTTCTATGATGCTCCTTCAGAAACTTCCCTCTTAAATCAATTTTCAGATTCAGTCTTGTCTTCCTTACCTCGCATTGGTGAATTAACTAATTGGGTTTCCAATTCTTTATCAGATCTTTCTTATTCAATAATTAATGGTATTGATTATACTCTTCATGGTATCGATTACACTTTGAAAGATTTTTATAATTTTAACCTTGACAGTTTAAAAGTGGTCTCTGATTCAATTATTGATCATTTAGAAATTGTTAATTCTACTTTGATGGATTCTGTTCTTGGCGGAATCAGTAGATTAACAACTACCTTGTTTATTGGAATGGGATTTTACTAATCCTCTCCTTTGGTTCTATGCTCTTTGGTTCTCTGATCTTCTTTTCTACACTCGTTCTCAGCTCTCTGGTTCTTTTCTCTCGTTCTCTTATTTTCTCTCTGGGTCTTTGGTTTTGTTCATTTCTCTTATCTTTTTGTTTTTAGTATTTTGGGTCAGACATGTACCGGTACAAGTATGTTTAATTGGAATCAAAGATATTTGATTGGTTTATATAGTTACAGCTTTTTATAAATATACTATTTTTTCTTTTTAATTTAAAGTATATACAAGTATAATAAATAATATTATGCTCTATGTAATTTAACTAACCATAAAGCTAACATTTCTATAAAAATCTAACATTGGATTTTCATTTTTTTTGGTCGTTGTCATTTCTAAATCAGCCCATTGATCTAAAAAGTCATGATGACTTTCAACTCTTGAAACTTTCCCAGTAACTTGTTTATACAAATCACTCGCTAATTCAAAATCAGTTGGGAACATAATATCAAAATAACCCTGATGACACATGTAAGTGGAAACATCTACCATTCTATCTTGTATAACAGTTTGAACAACGGGAGCATTGTAGTAATTATCACCAATAGTTTTAGGTAAAGTGTTGAAATCAGAACAAATTAGGGAATGGTGGGGGAAACGATGTTTTAAAATTTGAAAAAATTGAAGAAGACGGGTCGGAATAAATTCACCTGGTGTTAAATCATCTTTAAAAGGTACTAATGAATTTTGCCATTTCAATTTGGAGGATGAATAATTTAAGGGATGAATATCTGATTTATCTATAAAAGGAATTAAACTTTTATAAGTTTGTAATTTATTTAGCCAACTACTTGAATTTCTTAAAATTGGATATTGACCATTTTCACGTAATTGTAAAAAAGCATTTGAATAGTAACTTAATTCAGGAGTGAAAAATTCATAAAAATCACCTTGATCATCAATAAGTACATGACCTTGATGAGGTAAACCGGTTGCATTATCGTAACGAATCAAGTCGTGAGAGAAATTATCGAAAACTTCCAATGCAATGAAAAAACAAGGATCTTCCACAATTTTATCCCAATTGAATATAGACTTGTTAATAATCTCTAATTTCAGTTCATCAAGACCTTGTTCAACTAATTTACTTGACATTGCACTTTTAAATTGTTTCATGGCCAATTGACTTGAAATTTCGATAATTTTGTATTGCGTTCTCAAATATATATCCGGTTCATTTTCCTTGATGAAATTAAGTATATTACACATGAGTGTACCATTCCCACCACCCATTTCATAGATTATTAAGTCGTTGTAAGGGTAATTACCATTCAATTTATAATTGACTAAGATATAACGCGCTAAACTTTCTCCATAATAAGGTTGGAAAAGTTCAGTTGGAGTATGCCATAATTGTAAAGATCTGCGATTTGTGTTTCCAGAATGGGATTTTGTTGCAATCAAATCGTCTTTTTGAATCTTTTTAGCATGTCTGGCAAACTTTGATTTTATTTTATCAACATTTTCTTCTTGGGACGCTTGAAATTTTTCCTTGGGTTCTTGATTTTTCAGATTTCCTTCATCATACTTACTATAAGCTTGTTTCCAGTTTTCCATGAAGTCATCAACGTCTGCAATATTTTGATAATCAAAAGGTTTATCCGGGTGGAAAATTTCAACTTCTCTTGAAAAGTATCCATAATGGGGGTTATATAAAGAATCTTCAATAAAGTCAGAAACCAACATTTTTGACTTTTTAGGTCTGGTTTTGAAACGAGCTAATTTTGCCGAGTTGGTTGATGGATATGTATTGAACACTTCTTGGGGAGTTTTATTTTCAAATGGATAATTAGTACTGTTTTTATAAACAAAATCCACCAAATTAAAATTATTGAATTCAGTATTTGAATCTTTTTGCAAAGGGTGTTTCGGTATAGGGGCCACTGGTTTATCTGGATTCGAATGCTGAAGCAAGGATCTATTCTTTTCATTGGCTGCAGATACTTTGAATGCAAAAGTATCTGGTCTAATTGAATATTCATGATGTTTAGTATCTTTCTCTTCAAAATCGATTTTTTTCACAATCTTCTTGAAATTCTTGAAAAGCGATCTTGATTGAACCAACAGCACACATTGGGTATTAGGTAGGCGACCCTGCCTTAGCACATGGATCATTGTGGAGCCAATAAAGTAAATATAGTGAAGTTTAGTGGTCTCATCTTGGACCGTTTTTGAAGACAAAAAGACTTTTACTGGGTGTACGGGTAAATCACTAATTCTTGAATTATTGTTATACATAATACATAAGTTATCCATAGTACAAAAGCCTATACATAATACATAAGTCTATACGTATATGATGCTACCGAAGAGTTGAAGGTGCCTCGATGCTTTTGGTAAAACATTCGATAGTTTGTCTTACTTTTCAGGTTCATCGAATTCATCCATGCATTCAATGATGGTCTTCAAGTTATCAATGACATTAGATATGGCCACCCTTATCACCCTATCACTAGCACCATCAAATTTGACCAACAAATGAGACTCCTTGGTGGAATACTCCACGGTTAATTCATTGGCCTTCAATATTGGGTCTGGAGACAACGTGTTGCATGCAATGGACGCCTGACGAGATGTTTGGAATGGAATATCCAACGTAAGTGAATGGTCAAAGCTCATCCCCCATTGAACTATATTATCTCTTACTTGGCCTGGTATCAATACGAATACTAAATGCTTCAAATCAGCTGAAAATGAAAAACTTTTCCAAAGGATTTTTCACTAATTGGGTAAAAATTATCTGGACACGACCCAATTTTGGTGTCTGAAAACTTAATCAGATAAGCTTAGATAACCCCAGGAATTCAGGGGGGAGGTTGATAGCCGTTATCTGTATGTGATGGCATTGGTGATAGGTATATATCCGATAAGAAACTAACGTAAAATTTTTGGTTAAGTGGATGGTTTGTCGGTATGGAGGTAGTGCTCCAGTGCAATTGCATAATTGTTGCAAAAAACTGTGGATTCACATTAATTAATTCATTAATTGACTTGTTTTATTGTTTTTGAGTATTTTTTGAGTAGTTCCCACAAGAGCATTTATAAAGAGATGAGGTTTGTCGGATTTGTTACTAATTTGGCTGGAATCCATTTTTCTTGAAAAATTAATTAATTGTTTCAATTAATTAGCTGGTTTTAATTAATTAGCTTATGACCTTGTCTATATAAGATAATACTCTTCTTGTTAATGATTTGATTTTAGCTCCTTAGAATGACTATACAAAATAAACAATTTTTGAAAAACCAGGCTGTTGAGTCGACGGTTTTGATTAGCGATGCTCCTTCTACTTATTCCTCGGTCGATAACTCATTGAGTGAGTCGAGTCAAGGACCAACTTCCATCGACAATCCAGACGATTTCAGTCTTTTAGAAATTCCAAACATTGTCTTTATTGAAGCTTCTCTATTTACTAATGTCTTCCTTTCTGGTTTTGATAGTACCGTTACAGCTTCCACTTATACTACTATTGGGAATTATTTCAACGCAGTCAATTTGGCCTCTTGGATAACTACTTCGTATCTTGTGACTTCTACGGCTTTTCAGCCTCTTTATGGATCTATTTCAGACGTTATTGGACGTCGTTACTGTGTCTTTTTTTCGGTTTTCACTTTCAGTATCGGTTGTTTGGGCTGTGGAATATCTCCTAATATTTATATTTTAAACTTTCTGCGTTCTTTAACGGGGGTAGGTGCTGCTGGATTGATAGCCCTCTCTACAATTGTCAATAGTGACATAGTTCCTTTGAAAAAAAGAGGTTTGGTTCAAGCTTGTCAAAATTTGTCTCTTGGTATGGGGGGAATTTTTGGTGCTGCCTTCGGTGGTACCATTCTGAAATATTTAGGCTGGCGTTGGTGCTTTTTATGTCAAATACCTTTATGCTTTTGGAGCTCCATGGTTGGTTATTATTATATTCAAGATCAACCTTCTTTACAAAATTCAAAAATTAAGTTTGATAAACATCTTTTCGAAAAAATTGATATAAAAGGTTCTTTCTTGGTAGTTGCCGCCTTAACTGTTATTCTTTTATTTTTAACTATGGGTGGTAATGAATTAGCCTGGTCCGATTTTCGTCTTATTCTGTTAGCTATCTTGGGTTTACTTCTTTCTTTTTACTTTATTCGTACTGAACTCACTACTAAATCGACTCCAATCATGCCTATTCACCTTTATCGAAACAGATTCACCATGTACCTACTTTTCATTAATTTCATAATTGGTTTAGCATCTTACGCTTATCTTTTTGCATTACCTCAATTGTTCCAAATTGTTTTGGGTGATTCTCCCTCTCAAGCCGGATTACGTTTAGCTATTCCTTCACTATCAACCCCAATTGGTGGCTTGACTACTGGTATCTTAATGAATAAATACAGCTTGCTTCGTAGTTTGGTTTTTGCTGGTACTTCAATCATGACAATTGGAAATTTTATCGCCTTATTTGTGAGTCCTAAGATTAAAGGTATCTTACTTGCCTTATTACTTGTTCCTGCTAATTTAGGACAAGGCTTGTGTTTTCCATCGAGTTTATTTCTGTTTATTTTTGCATATGGTCCAGCAAACCATGCTACCTCAACCTCAACAACTTATCTTTTGAGAAGTATAGGTGGTGTTTTTGGAGTTTCTGGTGTTTCTGTTATAATTCAATCCTATTTGAAGGTGAATGCTTCCAAACATTTAGCCGAACTTGATTTGTCCCATCATGAGATCAATAAAATCGTTAAAAAAATCACTAAATCAACGGATAATATATATCTTTTACCTGAAAATATCAAAAATATTATCCTTCAAGATTATGAAAGGGGTATTAGAATTGCTCAATTTTGTACGGGAATCTTAAGCTTCTTAGCTGTCGTGTCATGTGTTTTATCATGTATTACTAAATCTAGACCAGATCATCCAAGTATTTTTACTTAGATTTATAGTCATTTGTGTATATTTATTATCATCTTAAAATATTTATTATCATCTTAAAATAATAAATTTGTAAATTCTATACCTAAGAAATTCTATATTTTCATTGCATCTGTCCAGCCGGGGAACATACTAGATAAATCAAAATTATTCATAAAGTCAAGACCAGGAGAATTTATAAAAGCGGAAACTGCGTTCTTAGGATCTAGCTTACTGGTCGAGCTAACGTAATAGTTATTTTCGATATGATCGCTTGTTGAATCATCAGAATTCTCACTAACTAATAGATTCAGGATATTCATTTCCTTTTTCCTAATATATTCAGGTTTGTACACTTCATCAACCTCTCCATTTCCGTAATCATGGAGAGTATTACGGATGTTTTCATTTTGTAAGTTGTCGGTGTCCTTTGTATTGACTGATTCAAATAGACTTTGTAGTTTAATTGCAGTATAGTACCAGCCTCTACCTAGTCCCCAAGCATTTTTCCATGTTGTAAGTAGCTCCACTGATTGAGCACCAATCTTCTGGAAGGTAGTTTTTATATCTTCTACTTTCACTAAATCATCATACCGATCAGTTAAAGGTAAATGTTTCAGTAGTACTTCACTTGGGAAAGTATTAAAATAGAAGCAAGTAGCACTTAATGTGAAAACCTCGAATCCGGTAAAAGGAGCTAAAACCATTTTATTTATGCCATGGAGGGTATTTATAAGTTCAAACTTTTCTTTTAAAGATTTCAATAAATCAAAAGTCGTTGCTTTCCACCAACCTAAGGGTAAAGCATCAGGGTTGCAAAAAATATACTCACGATTTAAAAAAACACGACATAGAAAAAGAAGGCAATGGAAATAGCCAAAACTAGTTCCGGAACCATCAGCTATATGAGCTTCGAGGTTGAATTTATTATAGACCAAATTATTCGGTAGTTTCGATTTAAATAAATCTAGTTCAGTTGAGAGTTTATGGAAAGTAGATTCCGATTCATAAGGGGGGGGTTGATCTGATTTCCGACTTGTTTCACCTACCCATTTTGCAATTGAAGCCCAGTTTTCAAAAAGTAAAATTTGAAATGCAAAAGTGGATAAGTTAGACAATGAAGTTTTTTTGAGAGGATCGTGAATACAATCGTTGGCTTGTTTAAAAGTCAAAGACTCGTTAATTTCATTACCAAAGGTGAAATCTTTTTCTTGACAAGGAAGTTTAATTCTTATATCATCTAACTTGACACAAGAAGAACGATTTCTTCCGCTTGAGTTGCATCGATCCATCATATAAACTGACCAAATAGTTCTTCTTTTACTTTCAGTAGCAATAAATTTCATAAAATCGTCATACTCTTCAACCGATCCTTCATCAAGCTTCAAATTTTTTTCGTCTCCTAGCCCTAGAACTAAAGCCATTCTTGCAGCAATTCCCACGTACAAGTAACTTCTTGAGTTATTACCTTCCCCCCATTCATGGCTACTAAGTAAAACCAACGCTTGAACTCTTTGGATTGTTGGACTATCAAACACATTTTTCAATAGATTTCTGGCATGCCAGCCAAAGTAATTTGAAGCTTGAGAAGCTTTGCTAGAATCTACTTCTATCAAAGTACTATCCAAATAGCTTAAGTTAAATTTTTGTGATTGGGAATTCCAATATTTAGGTATAAATGAGCTTGGTGAATCAATTTCCGAAAAACCTCCATATATTTTACTCATTATTGGATGTAATCTTGAAGTTAAAGCTAAAATTGATATCAATACCACCGGGTCTGGATATTTGAAGGACTGGCAATAATTAGCTTGGAAAAACTTTGACTCATATAAGTCAAGATAAGCACATGGATCAAACTCTGGTGAGCGTATGAATGATAAAAATGAAGGTTTATGTAGAAAAGGGAAAATGCTTTTATATTGATTTTCGAAAAAAATTTCCACCACTTCTAATATCAATGATTTTGGAGGTAGTATAACTCTATCTATTCTATTCATATTTGAATCTTTCAAATTATACATTTCTATAGGAGTTTGTTTGGGGGATTCCTTGTTCAAATCTTTGAAATGACGAGGTTTCACAATCATCAGTTTATCATTGAAAGACTTGGTTAAATACTTATGAGAAAGGTTTTTACGTTTCAATTGGGATTTCTTCAAAGTATAAGTACAATCAAGGGCAAGCTGATGGCATCTTTGACACTTGGAAGTATCAAAATTCAAGCATTTTACCTTGCTGCCTCTGCAGTGGTCACAAGCAACACTCGCTCTTGGAGATGTCATGACTTTTCTATGGATCTCAGACTGATTGACGGTTTTAAATCAAAATAATATATAATTATAAGTCTACAAAACTGTGGCTGCAAATAACACCAACTAATTTTTGCACGACCAGTGACAAGACGTGGGTGTGTCTATACCGCATCCGTACATCCCATGCTGTCTAAGCTACATAAGCCAATGTTGTCTAACTTTATAAGCCAATGTTGTCTAACTCTATAAGCCAATGTTGTCTAACTTTATAAGCCAATGTTGTCTAACTTTATAGGCCAATGTTGTCTAACTTTATAGGCCAATGTTGTCTAACTTTATAGGCCAATGTTGTCTAACTTTATAAGCCAATGGCTGGGAATAGACGAATAACTCGGACAGAAAGAAAAATGATTAAGGGAAAGGGGCCATATCCCATTATTGGAGAAAACCAAAGAGTAACTAAAGTGTAAAGGCTACAGAAATGATGGTTACTATTCAGGACTTCCATAAAAGAGTAGATGGTTACTTATTTCGATTGCTCTGTGGAATAGACCATGAGTGCCTGAGTATTTGCTTGTCTAAGATTAATTTTTTCAATCCTGATTGCTTTGATCAACCAAAGGCTCCCAGGATTAAACTTTAGGGTTTGGAAGGTTGATCGGAAATCCCTACATCGAAAGAAAGAGAATTATACCCAGAATCCTACGGTATAAACTTGATTATGTGAGTCGGGCTAAATACCAAGCCGACCAACTATCATTTGACAAATTGATGAGAAAATGTCGATGCTTTCCTCAGCCATATTTGCTGATCGAATATTGCTTCAAGGTTTAGTTAATCTTCGACTGAGTATTATTGAACATTATTTTAAATTTCAGTTTTCAATTATCCTATTGTTGGTCTATTGTTAGTCTATTGTTAGTCTATTGTTGATGTATTTGTTGCAATGCCTTGCTCTTATTTTGGCTTGATATCAATCTATTTTTTTTTTTTTTTTTTTTGTTTCTGTAAGTCAGTGTTCCAGTTACTGCAATCTTGTCTTACATTTACTACAACTTAGCATACCTTCAGCCTTAGTTGTAGCACCAAGACTGTAACATTTACCACAGTACAAAATTAAAACATTTAAGAAATACAACATTTACTATTCGAAAAGAACAACTGAAAACGAAAGACTGCTTCACTGCTAATTTTGCATGCAGACGATTAGTCTTGTTCGTTTCATATACTTGAAATAGTTCTACTAGCAAATTTATATCTCATCCCTTATGATTTTTCAAAGCATCAGCTTTCCTAAAAGGTTGAATTCAATCCCAAAACGTTGATCATCTAATTTTTTATGTTGTTTTCTTTTCTTTTTGTAAATTGAACTCGGTTGTTTCCTTGACTGTACCGGTTTGAAATTTTCAACTTACTCATCTTGAGATGATGATTTGCAGTGATAAGATATATAACTTGGAATATGGAACAATTTTGTAAGAAACCCCTTTATTCTTATCAATCATCATGAGAATTACTCGGTTTATCATATTTCTCTCTTTCATTTTGAAAGCATTGGCTTTCAATAATATCGTTCATGTTCCTGAAGGTACGGAATTTGGGAATACCTGCTTAAGTAGTAGCTTATACGATGCTTGTGACGGTGATTTTACGTCAAGACCTAGTCAATATAATTATCCTCCAGCTGACATCTCGGTGACTCAGGTTCGTTATGCATATGGAGAAGTTTACGAAGTAACGCTTGATGTTCAAACCAGTGCTACAATGTCTTTTGATGCTCTTTCTAAAATTCGTTATTTGGGGTTACTTACTCCAAATGATTACGTTTCCGGTGAATTTATCGTTTACAAGAAAGGTGAAATTGATTTAATTGATGATCCTTCTCATTTTGCTCTTACTGTATTGGTTAAAGCAAGATCTTTAGGTGATAGTTTCTGTGTTCCTTCTTTCCAGGTTCATTTCAATTGGTGTAGTTGGGAAGATGATAGTCATAGTGCTTCGGAATGTTCTTCCTGGCCTTATTCGACTGACTACACCTACCTTTTCAATTGCGAAGGTGCAGCTGATGCTCCAGAAGTTTGTTGGGATGCCGGTTGTCCTGTTCCTTCATCTTCAAGTACTTCTAAAACTTCTACTTCAACTTCAACTACTGCCGAAACCTCTTCTACTGCTCCAACTACTACTGCTACTCCAACTACTTCTTCTACCAGTACTACCACCACTACTCCAACTACTTCTTCTACCAGTACTACCACCACCACTCCAACTACTTCTTCTACCAGTACTACCACCACTACTCCGGCTACTTCTTCTACTGCTGAAACTACTTCAGCTACTTCTGAAACTACTTCAGCGACTGCTGAAACTACTTCTTCTACTGCTGAAACTTCTTCCACTGCTCCAACTACTACTACCACCACCATTCCAACTACTTCATCTACCAGTCCGTCGTCACCCGTCACTCCAACTATTTCCACTATTACCATTGAGAGTTCATCAATCATTTCATTCACTCCCTCTGGTGCCGCTACTCCAACTATCATCACTACCATCATTCCAACTGCAACATTAATTCCTATTGTTTCAACCTCAACTCCCCCGGAGGTAACGTGGATCGAAGATGACACCACTGAAGTTCTTCCACCGGATACCTCTACCGAAATAATTAATGTTCCTGTCCCACCTCAGATTTCTACCATCACTACATTTACTACTCCAGGTGTTCCAGTCGTACCCACTGTAACTGATGCTACTACTGAAGAAATTGAAGAAGATGATGTAATATTCTCAATTTTAACCATAACAGTTCCAGCTTTCTCTCCTCCAGAGACAACATTAGAAGGTATCAGCAGCACTGAAACATTAACTACTTTTACTACCCCCGGTGTATCAGTCAGTTCTACTGACACTGATGTAACATCTGAAACTGGCTCTGACCCAGAACCTGAAAGTGATGTTGTAACAACTGTTCAAACTTTAACTGTTCCGACTGATTCTTCTCATGCTTTCTCAAGTACTGAAACAATAATGACTGTTACAACCCCCGGTGTTCCAGTCGAGTCTGACAAAACAGACTCAGACATATATTCTTCCAGTACTGACTCGGATAGTGATGTTACAACTACTGCGATTACTATCACTGCTTCCTCTGAATCAACTTCTCCAGTCAGTTTCACATCTACTCAAACTTCCACAACTTTCACAACCCCTGGTGTTCCAGTTGTGACCACAAACACTGATACCAGTACTCAAGATGTTGATGATGGTGAAATACTCGTAGATATTTTAACCATAATGGTTCCACCTTTTGCACCTCCAGAGACAACACTAGAAGGTATCAGCAGCACTGAAACATTAACTACTTTTACTACCCCCGGTGTATCAGTCAGTTCTACTGACACTGATGTAACAACTGAAAATAGCCCTGCCCCAGAACCTGAAAGTGATGTTGTAACAACTATTCAAACTTTAACTGTTCCTACCACTTCTCCTAGTGATGAAATAAGTGGTGCTGAAACAACTACAGCTGCTACCTCTGAAAGTACAACCACGGACGATTCAGATGAAGGTTTTATTAGCACGGATACTGTAACAACCGTTACTACTCCAGGTATTCCTGTTACATCTGACAATACTGATGAATCAGATGATAATACTGCGACTGATCCTGCAACGGACATTGTAACAACCACTGACTCTAGTGGCAACACTCTTACTGTTGCTTCTACTCCAGGCGTTCCTGAACCTAGTGGTAATACCAATGAAAATGGTGAGATTTCAAATACAGATGGTGTAGCCACTATAACGACAGTTGTTACAGCTGAACCTGCATCTCCTCTGGGTGGCGAAGGCTCTACTGGCGAAGACTCTACTGGAGAAGGCTCTACTGGCGAAGGCTCCACTGGCGACCAAGGTTCTGGTGAAGGTCAAGGTTCTGGCGAAGGTCAAGGCTCTACTGGAGACCAAGGTCAAGGCTCTACTGGAGACCAAGGTCAAGGGTCTGGCGAAGGTCAAGGTTCTGGCGAAGGTCAAGGTTCTGGCGAAGGTCAAGGTCAAGGCTCTACTGGAGACCAAGGTCAAGGCTCTGGCGAAGGTCAAGGTCAAGGCTCTACTGGAGACCAAGGTCAAGGGTCTGGCGAAGGTCAAGGTTCTGGCGAAGGTCAAGGTTCTGGCGAAGGTCAAGGTCAAGGCTCTACTGGAGACCAAGGTCAAGGCTCTGGCGAAGGTCAAGGTCAAGGCTCTACTGGAGACCAAGGTCAAGGGTCTGGCGAAGGTCAAGGTCAAGGCTCTACTGGAGACCAAGGTCAAGGCTCTACTGGAGACCAAGGTCAAGGCTCCACTGGAGACCAAGGGCAAGGTTCTGGCGAAGGTCAAGGTTCCGGCGGTATCAATACTGAAACAACATTGGCTTCTCAAAGCAGAACAACGGACATTTCTCAACAACCATCAAGTATCACCTCCTCGGCACCATCTGTTTCAAATGTTGATGAAGCATCCGCTGCCAACGTTAATGTAAATATGGCCCTTTACTCACTAGCTTCTATTCTTCTTGGATTGTTCCTTCTTTGAGCTTTGAAAGAGTTTAATTCCTCATTTTCAAAATTACCCGAACTAGATAGTCTTAATATTTTTTCCAATTATCTAGTGAATAAAATGTATAGCTTCTTTTTAAGTACTTGTAGTTTCAAGATGGTTTAGCTAGAAAAAGGTTAATGCATATAACTAGGTTTAGTGACTATATTATCACCGTAATTGTTTTAATGTATATAGCTTTCGCCATTCTCGTCTATTCTGAAGGTTATTCTTAGTGGTTTGATTTATCCAGAAGTTGTATTTTTAAGGATTTGTAGAAATTTGTTAGATTCTCAAGCTTTGCTGTGATTTTTTTCAAAACTTATGCAAAATTTGTGCAAACAATTAATTAATTCGCAAAATTCATTTTTTGATAAAAAACTCGAATTAGCTGCAAAAATGAAGATTTTTAAAAGCGACTTTAGCCTCCCCAAAAGTGGCTTATTCTAGGGAAGGCCTGCAAAAACTGAATACTTCGACAGGATTGAGCTGCCGCAGAAAAGAAAAAGGTTCGGTTCGGCTACAAGGACCACCAAGAACGCTTCGCGAAGCTACCTCATTGAATAATTCAGAATATATAATTCATCAATTCAAACTACACTAGAGATGCATGCATTGCTTGAAACATTGGCACTTCCACAGAGAAATGTGCTTCTTTTGAATATGATGCTTATCACTTATTTATAATTTTCATCTTTATAAAAGAAGTATATAAGAACTCTTCAATTCAATACTGCCATTTCAAATTGAAATTTTATTGGCTCATTTTCAGATATATTAAATTGAAATGGTGGCTGAACACCTGGTCCACAGGCAGCGGTACCAAGTCCGTGCTGTTTATAGTCAACTCTAACGTACCTTTTACCATGTCTAACATCTTTGGGATGCAACGCTTCTTGTAAGCCATATTCATCAGAGACTTTGAAATTAAACTGATTTTCACCTCCATTAATGAGTAACCCGCCATTTTCTTTTCCTTCTAGGTATACCCAGAAAGTGTCTTCATGATTACCATTCTCTTGTGGGACATCATATGCATAGCCAAGGTCAGTATAGTTGCGTTCGTGAAGGTCGAATTTCTGGGATTCCTTTTTGTCAGCATAACTTTCACCAGGACCTCTACCTAGCCACTTTACTTTTTCTCCAATATCGTCATCTATTGTGAATTCGTAACCTAAACGTGGAATTGAATTTGGTATATCTGCAAATGGATTATATGCCTTAGGAATAAACTCAGATTTAATCTTGATAGAATTAGTCTCAAGTTCAAACTCCTCAGTAACTTCAAACCCCCACGATAATTTAGGAGGACCAATATACGATTTAACAGAGATATTCGTGTCTCCATAAGCAAATTCGACAACATTTTTTTGAGTAGCATTTAAACCAAATCCCTCCCAGTATGGCTCATCCACTGGCTGATCATTATTGGTACTAGGCCTCCAGAAAGTTATATTATTAAAACCTTCGCCAATATAAACTTGGCCATTGACCTTCCATTCAACAATTTTACCGTTGACCTTGTCAAAAATAAAATGGAAATCATCACCCTTTTTAACTGTATACAAACCAGGTGTTTCCTCGTAATCAAACACTTCACTCGAGTTCATTGCTAGCACAGCTGGAGAAGATTTTAAGAAAGTTTGGCCCCAAGCTACCAAATGACCAGCTGTTACTGCATTAGTCGATTCCTTTAATGTTGCTTGCACTTCAATTATTATATGATCTAAATTGTCATCTTTTTTATAATCGGGAATTGGAAATTCGATTGATTCTTGAGCTTTCAACGTCTTACCAAGCTGAAGAATCCCATCACTAACTTGGGTCTTTTTGATACCTCTGTAACTAGTGATATTATACTTAAAGTCGTAATTATCTAAATCAATAAAATCAAAAGTATTATTGATTCTTATGGTACCTTTCGTTGCATCAATGTTGATTAGTATTGGCTCAATAACCTTTTTTAACTCAGCTAAGCCAGGGGTGGGATCATGCTTGGAGTTAGTAAGCCCATCCATAATAAATTGACCATCATTTGGCCAGTCACCAAAATCACCACCGTACTTATAAGTGCCTTCATCATATATACCATGATTATTCCATTCCCATATAAATCCACCCTGAAGAGCATCGTACTTATAAAATAAGTCTTGATATTGTCTAATTAGACCTGGTCCATTTCCCATTGCATGTCCATATTCACATAAAATCAAAGGTTTACCATCTCTTGGATTTTTGCCAAACTCTTCTACTTCTTCCAAAGTTGGATACATTTGACTGAAAACATCAGCCGAAGTGGCATTACGATCTTGTTCATAATGAATAGGACGGCCAGAATCCAAGGATCTTATTTTATCAGCCATAGCAGCAAAGTTTCTACCGTAGAATGCCTCGTTACCGAGAGACCACATTATAATACTTGGGTGATTGAAATCACGTTTTACCAAACTGTTTGCTCTATCAACATAAGCAATTTCCCAGGTTTGATTATCCGAAGTAAAGCTTTTAGCTTTATCATATAGCTCTTTTTCTTCCTCATCTATTTGATTTCCCTTGTAATCGTGCTTCAAGACCACACTTTGAAACCCATGACATTCTAAGTCAGCTTCATCAATGACCCAAAACCCATATTTATTAGCAAGTTGATAAAATTTCGGGTGGTCTGGGTAATGTGAGGTACGAATAGCATTAATATTATGCTGTTTCATTATTAACATATCTCTTTCTACAAAATCCAAGGGAACAGCACGGCCATGTTCTGGATGATGGTCATGTCTATTAATACCTCTGAAAAGAATTGGAACGCCATTGACCTTCAAAGTTCCATCATTGATTTCCACTTTTCTGAAACCAACTTGCTGATTAACTTCACTTAATGTTTCGTTTTTTGCATTCACAACCTTTAAGTTTAAAGAATATAAATTTGGAGTTTCAGCCGTCCATTTTCTTGGAGATTCAACGAAAAAAGAATGATCGAAAGAAGTAGCATTTATTTTAAAAGATTCTCTAATAATGGTAGCATTTTCATCTGTTAAGTCAACTTTAAGCTCATTCTCATTGAAATCAGATTCCTGATTAAAAAAAGTGTATAATTTCAATTCTGAATTAGTGAGAGATTTATCGAAATCAGTTATAACCTGAAAATCTTCGATATAACCTTCTTTTCTGAAACCTAGAAGATATACGTCTCTGAAAATTCCACTTAGCCACCATTGATCTTGATCTTCAATATAAGAAGACTTTGACCATTTATATACCCTGACCCATACTTCGTTTTCTTCACCTAGATTCAAATGTTCGCCGATATCAAACTCAGCAGGATTTCGACTACCTTCACTGTATCCAATAAACTTACCGTTAACAAAGACATGATAGGAATTGTCTACCCCTTCGAAACGAAGCCTGTAATCAAATTCGTCTTTAGAGCTCCAATTTCCAGGCACCGTAAAGTTTCTACGATATACCCCAGTCGGGTTGTCAGCGGGAGGGTGGGGTGGATTCACATTGAATGGAAAAACAACATTTGTATAATGAGGATGACCAAAACCTTGGAGTTGCCAATGTCCGGGAACATCGATTTTTGAAACAAGTTCATTATCTTTAGTGTCTGGCATTGGTGCTTCCAAAGGCAGTGAAAAGTAACCAAAATCCCATTCACCGTTTAATGAAAGACTAGTTTCATCAGGAATATAATAAGCTCTGGAGTCAAGACGGTTGACTTGCACCAACAGGGAATCTGAGAGGTCAGCCACTAGTGTTTCGACATTAATGGCTGAAACCGTCCAAATAGCCAAACAGGCTGCAAAAAGTTTACCTAAGTCGAATAGCATCTTCGTCGCGCTTACTGCAAAAATTTAATTCCTTTGCCATTCGATATCATATTTATACTAAGTACGATTAAAAGCTGGAGTTTACTCAAAAGGTCATCATTTGCAACCAATTTGGTCAGACGTAACAATCTCAAGAAACTCTGGGCACTATCACAAACAATACATCAATTTAAAGTCTCATTTGTTTTTCGACAATGAACTCGGGATAAAGTCATTTTGGGTTCTCGGGTTTCCCCACAATTCTCCTAATACTCCAAACAATATCTGTCTAGCAGCTTAAAGCGGAATGCACTTTCTTTCGAACAATCTTACAATTACAAACACGATGCCATAATTTCAGCAAGCAAGTTTAGCAGAGGATTGGGATCATCATTTTTTATTCTATATATATAGACAATGCAGAAAAAAAAAATACGTATGTTTTGCAGCCTATGGATGCAAAAGTGAGCTGGATCTCGGTATTTCCATTCTAGTAGTACTCAACTGAAATCTTCTTCTACTATGTCAGATTTATCACACAACTGCCTAAAAATACCTTTCTTTTGGTATAAATTCCATGGGGTGTCGAACTCACAAATGCTACCCTTTTCGAGAACCAATATTTTATCATACGACAAAATAGTACGAAGTCGATGAGCAATACACAAAATTGTACAATTTTCGAAGTCTCTAGCAATACTTAACTGTATTTTCCGATCGTTTTCATAGTCAACTGATGATGTTGCTTCGTCTAGGATCAAAATTTTAGAATCCCGAACTATAGCTCTGGCAAATGAAATCATCTGCTTTTCTCCTAAAGAAAAATTCATACCCTCATGCTCAACTATATGGTCAAGCCCAAACTTAGTATCAACATCATCTTTGGCTTTCAAGTTTTCAACTTGTTTCTCAGTCAATAGACCAACTTTAGTTAAAGCTAGGTACATAGACTCATCCGAGGTTTGACCAAAAGGATCTAGGTTACTCCGAACAGTTCCTTTGAATAGAACCGGATCTTGGGGAATAATAGTGAGTTTAGATCTCAATTGATGTAGACCCAATTCACTAATATTTATACCATCCAAAGTAATATTCCCTTTATCCAATTCACACATTCTGAAAATGGCTGTCATGATGGATGATTTACCAGCTCCTGTTCTTCCACAAATACCTATTTTTTCATTTCCTTTGATGTCTACATTGACATTCTTCAAAACTAAGGGAAGCCCAGGTCTGTATGACATACAAACGTTTTCAAATTTAAAACTACCCTCAGAAGGCCATTCTGGCGGAGGTTCTCGGTCATTTAGAACATAAGGAGCTTCTTGCTCAAGATGAAGGGCTAACTGGCACATCCTTTCCACAGAGTTCATTTCATTCTCAATTTGTGTTGTTGACCTCATCAATTGATTTAGCATGGTGGTGATTTGTAAGGTGTAGGATAACAAGAGACCAACTGAAGCTGCACTTATGTTAAATATTCTGAAAACACATAAAAGGGATATAATGAGTGTAAAGATAGTTGAAATGATACTCAAATTAATACTTAGGTACCTTTGAAAAGTTATGGTAAGGTAATATGCCTCGTTCATTTTATTGATATCATGATCAAGTTTGTTCATAAAGAAATCTTTAGCATCAAAAGCTTTGATTATATCTAAACCGTTTAATATCTCACCAAATGACGAATAGACAAATGATCTTTGGACAGAATCTATTCTTTTGATTTCTCTAGAAGATGCTTGGTAAAAACTTAATAGCATAACAAAGAAAAGCCCCAAAACTGGAACACAGATAGCAAACCAAGGAAGATAAATGATACATAGAATAATCACACCAATAATAGTCGATAAGGTATAACTTGCAATTCTCAATTGATTGCTAATTTCATTATCTAATACCTCTGAATCCCTGGAGAATCGGTTCAAAATTCTACCAGTTGGAGTGGTATCCATATAAGATAAAGGTGCATGTAAGACTTTTTGCAAAGCTTTTATGTGTAAAGTCCTTGAAGAAGTATTAGACAAATAAACGATACTGAGAAGTTCGTTAATAAGGAAAACAACAGTTAAAAGCGAAAAAGCAACGTATAAACCTATATAAACACGATTTGGCTGTTTAAACTTATCTTCGATCCAAAATGATAACCATACATTTGAGAATAAAGAGCAGAATGTGGTCAAAGCCGTAGTCATCAAATAAAATAAAACCCAACCCGGTACGGTGAAAGACCCTGATCCGTATTTGATATAACTTTTATAGACTTCAGCCTTGAGTTCATTCACTGCCTTTTCCTCCTTTATTATTAATTCACCTTTTGAAGTTGCCTCTTTTGTAATTGGTTCATCAGGTTTTTCATCAAATTGTACTTCTGCCATAGAAGCCTTAAATGTCACATTCCTTTCTTCTAGCTCTTTGAGAGTACCAACATCAACAGTCCCTTTATCGGTAAAGTAGATAACCCTATCGGCAGCTCCAATTAAGGACACCTGATGAGTAGCTAATATTCTTGTTTTACCTTTCAAATAATTCAAAATACAATTTTGCATGATCTGCTTACCAACTTTTGCATCTACTGCACTTAAAACATCATCTAATAATATAATATCACGATCCGAGTATACTGCTCTTGCTAGGTTAATTCTTGCCTTTTGACCGCCTGACAAAGTAACACCAAATTCACCAAGCTCAGTTAGTTCAGCCGCAGGGAGCTCATGTAAGTCGACATCAAGACAACAATTGTTTATAACATCCCGAAACTTTTCTGGATCATATTCTGACCCAAATAAGATATTATTCTTAATAGTATCATTTTGAATCCAAGGAGTATTGAAGCAGGCTACAGTTCCGTAGACATTTAACGATCCTTTCGTACGAGGCATCATACCAGCTATAGCTCGAAGTAAGGATGATTTACCTGTACCTACCGATCCTGTGATTACCACAAATTCACCTGGTTTGATTGACAAATCTATATTTTTGAGGCCACTAGGTTTCTTACCATCAAAATTGGGCCACTCAAAGTCAGCATGTATGTCAATTGCAAAAGGAGATACATTATTGGTAGGCTTTTGGTCATTTTCTCCAGCGGTCAAAAAATCACTGATTCTACCAGCAGATACATAAGCATCAACAGCCAAAGCAGATACCTGAGGTAAAACATATACTTGTTGAGAAAGCACGTTGAACAATGATAATGAAGCGAATATTGATCCAGGGTTTTTAGTTCCGTTCAAGGCATATAAAACAAGGAATGAAACCATAGACGATACGTTGGTAAATGACATTGAGGTCGCCATTAATATGTTTCTAAGGGCTTGTAATCTCAATATTACATCCATTTCTGAGTTCCTTACTGACTTGAGTTTTTCGAAATAAGGGCTTTCCCAAGAAAAGAACTTGATCAATCTTAAGTTTTGTAAGGCTTCTTGAATGTATTGAAGTCTTTCATCCGTGAAAACATTGATTTTACTTCTAAGCTTCATTAATCTTTTGGTGGTGAAAGTTAATACTGCGATGAAGATGAAGACAAGAATCACTCCGATAAACCCTGATATACCAATGTTAACAATCAATAAAACAATTGCAATAATAATCGGGAAAGGGAAAGCTATTAAAATACAAACATAGCCAAAGCACTGGTCTATACGAGACATATCACCACCTAACATTGAAATAACTTTACTGGTAGGATAAGAATGTTTAGAGGCATTATTCAATTTAAAAGATTTTTCAATAGCTACTTTAGTTAATACGGCTTTTGAACGGGCACCAACCATCATTCCTTTTTGAAAACCATGATTTTGGAAAAACCCGGCCATAAATATAATAGCAGTATTACCAATTGCATAACCAACTCCTTTCCCACTATCATTAGACTTGTTCTCGACAAAGTTTATAAGATGCCTGGAAAGAAGGGGATTGAGGGTTAAACTTATACAGAAAATGGCAAAGTATAGGCAAGAGAGACTAAAATCCAACCAAAATGTCTTAACTAAGCAATATAGGAGATGATTTCGTGAAGAAAACCTCGACTTTGCATGATAATGATGGAGAAACTTTTCATACATATTCTGGACGGTGAGATCATCCGTAAGAATGTAAAGATCCTCTGGTTGCAAAGTTCTAAGGTAACCAACCTTGAGGATTGGATTAAGCCACCAGAAGAAAGCCCTTTTGACAAAGTTAGAGTTTTTCTGTGGAAATACGATTCTTTCATCTTCTGAAGGTATTGGAGGTATAGTTTTTGGAGCAAGAAAGGAAAATAGTCTTTTCTGCTTTAGCAGCAGAGTCTGTTTTTCAGAGATTGACATTTACAGAGTATTGTTAATGAATGAAGTTTTTTGCTGTTTTGCACATTTATATATATATATATATATATATTTATATACGTTCATCGAATGGCTGAAAAAATTGATAAACCGTTAACCATGAGGGAAAATCCGAGACTATCACCGCTATCACCGCAACCTTCGGTGTTGGGCACAACTATGAGTCAAATCCCATAAGTCTGCTTCAATACGCACATGTTACATGGATGCCCGTGAGAGCAGTAACCTGAAGAAGCTGTCAAAGCTCTTCAGCTGATAACGCAGAAGCATCGAAAATGGGACGAATTACGAAGGCATAATAACGCTCGTGCATCATTATAAAAACTTGATCATATAATTGACTCTTGAATCCACGTATGTCTATATGAATATGGCTATATAAATAGAGGTATATCGATTGGACTGAATGAGTATGACTGAATAAATACGACTGTATAAGTATGACTAAATGGCTGTAGAAATATGACTATGACTAAATGAATATGAGTAACACGCTAAACGAATAAGTGTAATACGGGAAAATTCCGTGCGCAGAGCGGAAAAATTTCAAACCGCTAAGAATCAAACATTTAAGTCGATGATTTTCCTGTTGATGAAGGTATTAGTCAATTTCTTTAAAGATGAATAGCGAGGAATCGGTGCTTACTGGAGTCAGGGAGCATGACTACCGCTCGATCAATGAAGAGGTGGAATCTGACCGTCTTGGGTTTGTTCAAGAACTCAAATTGGTGATTTGCTCATCGGGGATTCTTTCAATATCGTTTTTCCTTCAGTATTTTATTTCGGTGATGGCTATTTATTCTGCTGGTAGACTTGGTCCATCTCAATTGGCTGCGGTTCAATTGGCTGTGTCCACATTCAATGTCACCGGGAATGCAATTTATCAGGGAGTTGCTACTTCTCTAGATGCTTTTTGTTCTAGAGCTTATGGACAAAAAAAATATCACGATGTTGGTAATTATTTCCAGAAATGTGCATGTTTAATGCTTTGTTTAACCGTTCCTTTGTCTTGTGTTTGGATCAATTCTGGCTTTTTGTTATCTAAGATTATTTCCGACACTGAGTTGGTGTATAGATGTCAAAGCTATCTTCGTATAATTACCTTTGGTGCCCCGGGTCTCTTATTGTTTGAAGCTGGGAAAAGATTTTTACTTTGCCAACGTATAGTCCATTCTATCACTTACATTTTATCATTTGTTGTGGTTGTTAATCTAATTGGGAATTACTTTTTAGTATGGAACCCAAAGACTAGTATTGGCTTTCTTGGTATTCCAATCGTGGTTGTAATCCTGTATTGGTCGTTACCTATATTCACTTTACTTTACGTGATTTTCAAAGATGGTAAGCAATGTTGGGGTGGGTTTTCTTTAAAAATTTGTTTTTCAAATTGGTTCCCACTAATGAAATTAGCCATTCCAGGAATTATAATGGTTGAAGCTGAATATTTGGCCTTCCAAGCCCTTAATTTTTTTGCTGCTTCTTTTGGTACTACTGCCTTGGCTGCTCAGTCCATTTGCTCTACAATGGGATCGTTAATATTCCAAGTCAATTTTTCTGTTTCTGTCTTGATAAGTACCCGTATTGGACATTTCATTGGTAGTAGGGATTTTAGGGGAGCAGATATATTAATTCGTATTGCTTTGATCCTAGCTTCAGTAATTGGTTGTTCTAGTTTTTTTTTCATTATAATTGGTCGTCATATCTTGGCCGGATTTTTCACTCAAGACGAAAAACTATTAGAAAAAGCATCAAAGCTTCTTATTTACTTAGCTTTTAATCAATTTGCTGATTCCTTTAACGTCATTTGTGGAGGCATATTGAGAGGGCAAGGACGCCAAAACATAGGGTCTATCATAAACTTGGTTTGCTACTACTTGATAGCTTTACCAATCGGATACTGGTTTGCATTCCATCAAAATATGAAAGTGTTTGGGTTATGGTATGGCTTGGTCTTGGGTGTTTTTGTTTTGAGTGTATTACAAGTATTCCACATTTTGAGAAGCGACTGGAACTTGATCGCTAAAAACCTTCAGGAGAAATCTAGAACATAGAGTATTTAGTTTTGTTTACTTTCATGTACCATAGTAATAGTTAATAGATAAATTATTTTTGCAGCATTGTACTTTTAACCTCGCAATGAGAAGTAGAAAAAAAAAAAAACAAGCATAGAACATTTACTATTAAACGTTAGATTAACAGGATGAGTAATGCTAGGACCCGATTGACTTGGGCATGTCTAAGATGCAAAAAGAAAAAGGTTTCTTGTGACAGTGGCAGACCAAGCTGCTCAAGATGTGAGAAACAAAATACACCTTGTATTTATTTACAAGACAAACGAATAGATAAAAAATCCTCAAGTCAGAAGAATAAAAAAAGAGTCAATGTGCCAGAAAAAGCTCAAACAGAGATTCCTGTTTCATCAGAGCTTCCAAAGAGCTATTTAAGACCCGATAATAGCACGGTGGATTTCAATTTTGACAAATTTATGGGCTACTGGAACTCAGATTGTCTTGAGATAGAGGAAGATACAATAAATCATTCTCTCTTGCCCGATTTTGATATAAACCAATTTTTGAAATACCTTGACGACGACGCATCACCTATAATTGATCCCGTTAAGGTCGAACAATCTCCCCATATAGACTTAATAGAGTCGGTTTTCCAAAATAAAACCCATCCTCCACCTGGTATCGTTAAACAGTATATAATTGATATTGACCATATGTATTATGGTGAAAAAAAAGATTTACCCAAGGATGCAATATTCCTTCTATCGACTATTCTATGTCTTGGTGCTTTGACATTAGCCAAACGTGACTTATTAGCTCAAAAAATTCGTCCAAATGAGATTACTGTATCTGATGCTTTTACTCATTATCAAAAAGCTAAAAGTTATTTAACTGATATTCTAGAAAACCCCTCTATAAATGGCTTTTTGGGCTTAGTGTTGATGGCAAATTTCATGACTTTAATGTTATCTTTGGAAGGTCAAATGTTTTTATGCTTTAATGCCTTACAAATTGCAGTATCATTAGGACTAAATATTCAACCTTTTGAAGGAGAAGGCGACAATCATATAATTTTGTTCTGGAGTTTATGGTGCTCTTCCTGCATGCTTGCTGGTTTCCATGGTAGACAGTCTCCATTGAATATCAGTGATATAAAAGTCAGTCGACCAATTGATCTTCTGTCGATAGAAAATTATGGAAATTGGGGAGGTACAATGTTCAATGCAAGAATTGATTTCGCTCAAGCTTTTTCTTTGGCTCATCAAGTAAGTAAGTTAGGACCTGGTCAGGAATTTGATGCATTAGCAACTTTTGTCAATAACTTGTCAAATCATTTAGAAAATCTAAAGTCAATTCCTTCTGCTGATTTTGATCTGTATAATCGTCGAATTTTTTATTTTAAAGAGCTCGAATGCTGGAGAGCTCAAACTATTATGTTGCTATACTCGGATCAGCTTGTAAGGGGCAGAAGCTTAAATTCTGTTTTAGAAGCTCAAAGAATTATAAGAGATTTATGGTTTTATTATACTTATGATTTTCCAGAAAATCAAGAACGTTTGATTTCTTATTTAGATTGGAACTTCTCATACCCTTTTAGAACAGCATCTCTCACTGTTTGGATTGCATGTGTAATTATACATAGGTATAAGCAATCTGTACCTTATTTAGAGCATGAGAATATCGTAGAATTTCAAATTGGCTATAAAACATTGAAACTACTTGTTAAAATTATTCCAATAGAGCATCATTTGCTAGAATCCTTAGATAAACTACTTGATGGTACGATAAGTACAAATTCTTATTGTAATTTCTGGTTAAAAAGACTATATGAATCATCTTAGATCAATAACAAATCTACCTTTGATTTTACCTTCGATCATTTGATTAATTACATTTTGTAATTCCTCCAATTTTACAATATGAGTAACGGGATCGATTCTCGCTCTTGATAAATAATCCAATGCTTCTTTTTGATCTAATTTAGACCCCACCAAAGTTCCAGTGATATTTATACCAGAAGAAATCAATTTGAAAGGTGAAACAGATATTCTGGCGCTGGCTTCTGTAATCCCTACAGAGATCAAGCTTCCTTTTGGGGCAAGATAATCGAAAGCCTGATTATAGGAATGCTCATTAGGGGCAATCATTATTGATGCATCAGCTCCATTTTTGGCTGTCAATTCCATTATCCCTTTCACGACATCATCTTCTTTGAAATCAAAAAAAGCATCTGAGCCTAAGCTTAAGGTCAACTCTTTTTTTTCTTTGCCAGTATCAATAACGATTATCCTGAAACCCATTTCTTTTGCATATTGGATTGCCAACGTACCTAGGCCTCCTCCACCGGCTGTAATCACTATCCAGTCACCTTTTCTCTTATTAGCTGTTTTTAAAGCTTTATAAACCGTTACACCAGCACATAATATTGGTGTTGCTTTAACTAAATCATTGAAGGATTTCAAATTTTGAGGTATTGGGATAATATTATTTTTATTAATCACACAATACTCTTTCCAAGTTCCATCTATTTGTGAACCATAATAAGGATTAGTTCTACAAAACTGTTCTCCTCCCCGAATACACGCTTTGCATGATCCACATTCATTGTAAATGAGCGGAATCCCAACTGTTAATCCTAATGGAATTTCTTCTTGATTGACTAGCTTCCCATGCTTGACTATCTTTCCAACTCCTTCGTGCCCACTAACTTGGCAGCTTGAATAGAAACCCCATTCGCCTTTCAAACAGGATATATCGCTATGACATATACCACTGCAAATCAACCTAACTAGTAACTCATCATCCTTTATTTGAGGTACTGGATAATCGTGCACTATATTTACTTTTGGGTTCAACCCTATTTCAGCAACTGCCGCCTTTTGTTTGGTTGGTATACTCATAAACAATTGGAACTATCTCAAAATCAATTTTGACGAAGTCCTCTTGTTCCATGGAAATAAATCGTACGGTGGTGATTTGGTTTGTTATATAGTACGAAATAATTTTTATTTCTTGAAAAGGGGAAATGTCATTCTCACGAAGCTGCTGTCATAAGTATCGTAACTACTTAAATCCTATGGATCTTACAGCATGCATAATGCACGAGTTTATTTGTTGAATGAACAAAAGACTATTAATAAGTCTTTCGTTTGGATTTGAAAAAGTTGTGAGTTAAAATTTTTGTGACAAATTGAACTTCAAAACTTTATTATTCTCTGAGTATTGTCATGACTACTAAGACGTGATCGAGACCAGATTCCTAACGGATATTATTGATTATCTTAGTCTGATTATTTTTCGTAGTTCATCAGCTAGTTGAACTAAAATACCTATTGTATACCAACTTTGAGATAGTATTGCATCTATTAGGTCAAAGATTTGCTATGACAATCTCGTAAAGTATCAAAAAGGTATATATACAAGAGTTAAGTCATTCGTCTCTCGAAGCTCTTAAAATAAAGCAAGAATGAGATCAGTTTCATTTTTACTACTTTTATCAATTATTTCAAGTGTTATTTCCTGGTCCCCTACAGGCTCATTGGCACCAGGAATTGTTTCATGTCCAAACAAGACATTAATTCGGGCCGCTAATGGTATATCTGAAGAAGAAAAAACATGGTTGGAAGGACGTGATAGGGTAACTAATGCAAACTTAATTAAGTTCTTGGAATCAAAGTTAGAAAATTTCGATGCCTCTAATTTTGTTGAGAATGCTAGCAGACCCATAAGATTAGCTATTGGAGTTAGTGGAGGTGGTTGGCGTGCAGCCTTAGTAAGTGCAGGTCAGTTGGCTGCATTTGATGATAGAACTAGAGGTGACTCGGGTTTAGCTGGTATTCTTCAATCTGCTACTTACCTTTCTGGGTTAAGTGGAGGTAATTGGTTGACAGGAACTCTTGCAATGAATAATTTCACTTCAATTCAACAAATTCTTGATGAAGGGGAGATTTGGAACTTAGAGTCTTCTGCTTTAAATCCTCAGTGGGATCTGAACTATACGGCAGAGTACTATAAGACCATTCGCCAAGATCTAGATGATAAGGAAAAGGCTGGCTTCCCTGTCACTACATCTGATACTTGGGGAAGAGTCACAAGTTACACAGCTTTTGCGAAAATGAAGGATCATGGTGTATCGATGTGTTTTTCTGATTTACAAAACTTTGATGTATTTAAAAATCATGAGATGCCAATGCCATTTTCACTCATCATCAATAGAGAGCCAAATTCTTTCATTGTCGGTAAAAATGCCACTGTTTTAGAGGTGAATCCGTTTGAATTTGGTTCCTGGGACCCTTCTTTGAGGCAATTTACTCCTATTAAGTACTTAGGTACAGAGCTCGATGATGGTGTCGATAATGGTACTTGTGTCGCAGGTTTTGACAATGCTGGTTATTTAATGGGTACCTCTTCTTCTCTTTACAATTTGTATCATGATTTCCTCGATAATTTAAATCTTACAGCAATTCCTGAATCAGTTAGAGAAACAGCAAAGAGTCTATTCAAATATGCTTACGACAAGGAAACACAGTACGCATTTCTTGAACCTAACCCATTTTACAATAGTCATCTTGGGTATGCTGAAGATATCGTTAAAAATGAAACTTTATTCATGGCTGATGGTGGTGAAGACGGTGAAAGTATTCCTTTCCATCCTTTAATTCAACCATCTCGAGGAGTTGACGTTGTTTTTGGACTTGACAATGGACAAGATAGACCTGAAGGCTGGCCAAATGGTACCACTTTGATCAATACTTTTGAAAGGCAATTTTCAAAACAAGGAACTGGAAAATTTCCTTACGTTCCTGATCAACAAACCTTACTTAATTTAAATATGACTGCTAAACCCGCTTTCTTTGGCTGTGACGCAAAAAACTTGACATCCATAAGTGAAAAAGGTCACGATGTACCTCTTGTTATTTATCTTGCCAATAGACCATTTTCCTTCTGGTCTAATACAACAGTTATGAAGTTGAATTTTCAAGAATGGGAAAAAAGAGGTATGATTCAAAATGGTTACGAAACAGCAACAAGATTGAATGGTACCTTAGATTCTGATTGGCCAACTTGTGTTGCATGTGCTATCATTAGAAGAGAACAAGAAAGACAAGGAATTGAACAATCGGACCAATGTAAAGAATGCTTCGAGGAATATTGTTGGAATGGTGAAATTAACCACAATAGTATTGCTGGAGTTAACTTTACCGATATTGGTCTTACCAGTGGTCCTAACGACAGTGGTAATAGAAAGGTCATCGAACCTAGTAACCAAATTTATTGATTTAACAGAGACTGAAAAAGAAAGCACTGCTTCAAATGGTGAACTGTTTTTCACCATTAACATGAATTCTATAATTAACATATTTAGAAACACAAAACTTAGAGTACTTGTAGTGTTTTCGTACGTATAGCAGTTGCGAAAGAAATTGCTATATTAAAGCTTTCAATAGTTCAAAGTTTCGGAATACTTTACAAATAATGCATTATTTTCGGAATAGTGTCACTAAAATCGTAGAATGGGTGTCTTTCTTTAAAAATGAAGAACGAACAATGCATAACAAAAGTTGAATCTATAAAATAGCTTGAAAGAGCAGCGGAAACTTCAAAGGTAGGTAAGCGAAGCTCCTGGAGGTTTGTCTAGGTATGTCTTCAAAGCATTTGAAGCTGTTGCAAAAAGTTTAATCGGAGCTGCAAAATTCGAAATGTAAAGATGCGCAATGTGCTAAGTATCAATATTGTCAGACTTGGAATATAACCAACTAAGTTCATTATAGAACTTCTGTGATGCCACTTTCCAATTACATTCTATTAACCATAGACCTACTGAAAAGCCTTAAGCAGAACTTTGAGGTGGTACTTCTGCTGTAATACTGAATTAACTAATATTTCGAATATCTAAACTTGATGTCGTTTTATCTGAAGCGAAATACTCCTTGGGGGTACCTGAAGGAAGCAATACTAATAAATTAAAAATGTATTATACGTCTATACAATATCACTATTACTAATAGCGGGTATATGTTTAAGCTGGCTTAAGCATCAGAAGATTCAATATCATCCTCGTCTACGTCTGACCACAAGTATTTATATCTAAATAGTCTAGCTACAAAAGCCAAAATGATTAAAATGGGGATTTCTAGTAATGGGCCAAAAGTAGCAGCGATGGCCTGTTTACTGTCAGTTCCATAAATAGAAATAGCGACCGCTAAACTTAACTCAAAATTATTTGAAGCAGCAGTAAAAGTCTGTGTAATGGTTTCTTTATAATTTGCAGCACAACCGAAAACCCATTTTTGGGGATTTTTTATTGATTTTTCTTTACAACCACACTTGAGTAAATCAGTAAGTTCTTCGTCACTTTCGTCATCATTTTCGTTGTTGAGCTTCAATGCAAAGCTAGTAGTTGACCACCATCTGTAAAGATAGAAAGTACCGAACCAAGCCACTAAAAAATAAATGATCAATGGCACGAAGCATCTAAATGCCGATCTTATTTCTTTTATAAAAGCATCACCTTTTTCAATAAAGATGACAATGATTGTATATAATAAACCAATAAGGGACCATGGCGAAATAAATGGTAAGATGTTTTTTTCAAATTTTTTGATACCCACGGTATACATGAAACTAAACCGTAATAAAAAACCTAATCCTAATGGAATACCTAGGAAGAATCCCACGTTCCTAGCCACTAGTTCATAGCTTACATTTGACTGTGTACGAACACCTCCCATAACATAACAGAATAAGACCTGGTATGGAGCATACAAGACAATTTGTAATAAACTATTGATAATTACCAAGATAGCACATAATGAATTATCACCACCGGCTATTTCGTTCCAAAGAAGTACCATAGCGACACATCTTGCCATACCAATCATGATCATACCGACTCTGAACTCCGGCTCATCGAAAAGGGTTAACCATGCCAATCCATACATAAGAAATGGGCAAACCAACCAGTTAAGCACCAATGAAACTAATATTGACTTCTGATATTTCTTGTATTGTTGTAATTGTCCGAACGTTTCCCATTCAACTTTACATAAAGGTGGGATCATCATTATGATTAGCCCTATAACCACCGGGATGGAAACATCAAGTACGCTAGCACCTTGAAAGATTTTTCTTGACTGTGGCACGTACACGGAGAGGAGAATACCTAGAATGATAGAACAAATTATGAATAGAGGAAGACATTTATCAAGAATCGAAAGTTCCTGAAAAATCTTCTTTACCTGGGGTTTCCCCGAATTTATGGTCATTTCTTTTCAAGTACCGAGAAATGCAGCTAAATCTTGTGGACTAACAAAGGTTGAGGTTGGCTTGTTAAATTACGTATTCAAAGAAGTGATCAGATTCGATGTCTTGTTTCAAGCTTCATTTCGTTACATTTCTATTGATGTACGGAGGTAAAATAGTAACATAACAGAACAACCTGGAGAATCAAATTCCCGATTTTACGACTCCATGAACTATTTATTATTTAATATGAGATGCATATTTGAGTTGAAGCGAGTAATAAGTAGTCAAATAATGCGAAGAGTAAGAAGAGCTTATTTATGTTCGCCCATTAATTCCTCCTCATTGCCATGGTATCTTCGCTTGCAAAACAAGCCTACGACAAATAACTTTCGTCTTCCTTTGTGATAATGCTGTCTTTATTTTGAACACTGGTCACACTCACTTATAAAGCTCCGTATATCTCTACACTTGCCCGAGATTTGTGTGCACGCATAAGGTTCCACGCGAAGTAGTCTTTGATTTAGCTGCGAAACCAAAAGCAAGCATATTGGAAGTTTAGGTCAATAGATAAGAGAATATTAAAGCTCTAGAGAATAAGCAAGACAGTGGCCGGGTTATTGCAAAGCAAAACTTATATACAAAGAGAGAAAAGAAGTTTTGAAATATGAAGAAGTCAGATTAGTTCATCTTGATTATCGTGACCTAGTTGGTTTCAGCTTTATCTTGAGCACCCTTCGAAATTTCAAGAGCACTTAAATTAGAAGACAAGGCTTCAGCTTGTTTTTGCTTTAAATATTTTAAAAATCTCTCTGGTTGATCTTGTATGTTCAAATAATCCTCAGCTTCATCTTGATCCCAATCTAAGCACTCATCCATTAAAAATTCAATAATTTCGTCATAATTTTCCATCTCCACGGACACCCCTTGTTCAACCAAGTAAAGAAGTGAGGCACCAATTGTTTCACGCATTATTATAGCTAAGTTTATTTCCTTGGGTGTGAATGAGATGAACGAATCTAGTTCCAACAAATATAATTAATGGCCAAATTCAGTTCGATTCTGCGTAATGTAATGGAATTTTTGCCTAACTAAATATGTGCATGGCACGACTAAAGACTTCAATAAGTCGCACTTTTGTATATATGGTTAGCGCACGCGAACTACAACTTAGTAGTTGCAATCCCAAACAGTGTAGATATGAATTACCTGTTTTCATTCACTTCTCTTCTACACTTAACTAACTAACTTATCTTTAATATATGATCTTTTATCTTTAGCATATATTGAATATTGCTAATTATTCTAAACAATAAAGTAACTAGTGAGGTTGCATACTGAACACATAGGAAATTGTCACTAAGTATAAGTCAATAAGGAATTGATTTTTCTCACTAACAAATATATTTAGGCGTACTTACCAATAATAGATACTAGGTGTCCGGAGATTTTGAACCTTTTAGCAGAATTGTACTTCATAAGAGAGTTTTTTTAGTTATTATTCATATTGTTTGAAGAGGAACTTTACGAGGACTAGGCTGAGTTAGGTCTATGTGTTTCTTTCTATTTTGCTTATAATAATTCTTGCATGCAATTTATGCAAGCATTCTCGAATTGTTACTTCAGAACAACTTTGTAGTCATTTTTTAAAAAAAGCTAACCTGAGAAACAAAATGCTATAAACGACTGTACTTTCGCTTGAAACTCTTCTCAGTCAACTTGATTAATGCCCTCAAGAAAAGAAATCTCCATGAGCATTCCCAATCTTGTTGAATCCTTTTGAAAGGGTTAGTCTTGGACCGTTGGGTAAATCTCGACAAAAACGTTTTAGTAAATAAGGTTTGCTTCAAGCGTTCTGTTGGTTTTGTTTTTGGTGATATAAGCTTACCTTTAGAAACAACAAAACATCAATGAGCTACTTCTTAATCTACAAATAAGTTCGCTGATGCCAATTTTGAAAGGTAATTCTGGCTGGAGAATGACCAGAATTTTAACGACTTTAAAACTTAGCTTTTTCGACAGATCTTTTAGCTCAAAATGTTTATCCTGTTAGGTCTCAAAGATATAGAGTGGAATCACGCTTAAGCACATCTGGCTCATCATGGATAATATAAGAAGGCTGCAAGTATACAAAACAAACATACAAAAAGTTGCGAAAACTTTAACGACGCAGAAGGCTTATCCGTATCGAAAGTTTTACTAGTGACACACACAGCCTTTTCTAAATCCAAAATTGAGAATAAATATGAGTAGCTTAAAGAGACGGTAGATATGGGTATCTTTCATGTTAAGTGATAGAACGGTATGTCTCTAGTTTGTAATCTTTGTCTAAGACGATGTTCGTGTTGATGATGCTCCATTCAAGGCCATCAATGTAACACCACATATGATCAAAATGGATCAAATCAATTCTAATATGAAAAGCTTAAGTATTAGAGCACTAACTCAAAACATCAGTTCGAATAGTTTCTAAAATTATCCGAAACTGGGAGATTTGTATTCATTGAGAAAAGCAAAAAAAGACAGATTGGATAGAGGAGGGGATAAAGTAGAGCCAAGGGGTTAAATTGTATTACAAGTAGGATTAATATTTGGTAAACTCAAGGAATTAGTTGTTGGTGATGATCAAAGAGGGCATTGGTTGAGCAATATATTTTAGTGACACCCCCTATAAATTGAAAAGTCACAAGAGCATCATCCCCACCAGAATGACCTACTGGAGGTTAAAAAAAGGCCTATGGTCTAGCTTCAAGCCCTATGGAACCCTTTTGCATTCAGCTAGCAGTTAATGCAGACAGTATGACGCAATTGATAGATAACGTTCATTTGGGTATTTATAGATTGCCTGCACATGCTCTGATACCACTGCATCCTCCCCGGCCTATTTAATGAAAGCAAAAAGGGTACCAGATTGAATAGTCGTTTTTTATGATTAAGTATTTATAATGCAAGCTAGAATCATTGTGGCCACCGTTTTAATTAATGTTTGTATGGTTATGGGATTGGTCATCCCTGACTTGAAAACTCTCTTAAGTTTTGACCAATTACTTACTCATCCAGAAATCCATAAGGTTGAACCTTTAAAGCAAGGATACGATCAAGGTGTATTGAAAGAAGAGGAAATGGCTCCAATTTTGAGTAAAGTTAGTGCCGATAGAATAGTACCTAATAGATATATCATTGTGTTCAAAGATGGTTTAAGTACTGCTCAAGTTGAAAAACACCAGCAATGGATTAGTACTCATCATAAGAATATGTATAACGATATGAATATTGAATCTACTCCATTTTTACTCCTGTTTTTCAATATTGGTGAATCTTTTGGGGGTTATTTTGGTTATTTTAATGACGAATTAATTAAGTTGATTCAATTAAATCCATTGGTGAAGTTTATTGAACGTGATGCTATCATGCAAATTGATGAGTTTGATACTCAAAAAGACGCTACTTGGGGTTTAGCTAGATTGAGTCAACGTGAACTTTCTCCCTCTACTGACTATTTATATGATAATGACGGTGGTGAAGGGGTTACTGCTTACGTTCTCGATACCGGTATCAAAGTTGAACACTCTGAATTTGAAGGTCGTGCTTCTTGGGGTGAAGCTGTTCCTTTCCCTCATATCAAAAGTGATGACAACGGCCATGGTACCCATTGTGCGGGCATTATTGGATCCAAAACTTATGGTGTTGCTAAAAAAGTGGAATTGGTTGCTGTTTCAGTGATGAATGCTTTAGGTTCTGGTTTTACCTCAGATATTATCAAGGGTATTGAGTTTGTAGTTGATGAACATAAGGAGAAAGTTAAAACTAAAAGAAAGGGCTATAAAGGTTCTACCGTTAATATGTCTTTGCGTGGTGGTGTCACTGATGCTTTAGATCTGGCTACTAACGCTGGTTCTGAAGCTGGGTTGCATATCGCTGTTGCTGCTGGTAATGATGATTCTGATGCTTGTGAATTCTCCCCAGCTAGAGCTAGTGGTCCAATCACTGTTGGTGCTTCTGATAATGCTGATAACAGGGCTTATTTCTCCAACTGGGGTCGTTGTGTCGATATCTTTGCTCCTGGTGTTGATATCTTATCTACTCACGTTCGGTCTGATACCGCTCTTTCATCTGGTACCTCGATGGCTTCACCGCATGTTGCCGGTTTGTTATCTTACTTTTTATCTTTGTACCCAGATATCAACTCAGAATATGCTACTGGCGAAAATGGTTTACTTGATTCTAAATCTTTGAAATCCAAAGTTATCAAATATGCCACCAAAGGTGTCATTCAAGGTATCACTGATGGTGATTCTCCAAATCTTCTAGCCTTTAACGGTGCTGGTGGTAACTTGACCGATTTCTGGTCTTTGTAAGCAAGTCATGCGGGAGTGACTTGGGGTTTCTATATAACTTGTCTTTAAGAATAAAATAAGTCTAAACAATTGTGCTTGTATGTTTTTCCGCGTTATAGACGGCCTATGTCGAGCTATGGAAGTCGGTAATATTTCTACGAGTTTTTTCAAACGATGACAAAAATTGCAAAAAATTAGATCAGCACTAGAAACGCACGGCAGGAACAAAAAAGTAACACTACAGGCTGGGTTTTTTTTTTGACAGGAACAACATTGTTTATTGGTATCAAATTTGAATTGAATAAAAATAGCGCCCTGCAAAAATATATCAAAGTTTTCTATATGTATACAATTTAAATACAATTCTTACTTTTCTTTTCTGATTCTCTTCAAAGTTTTCATATTCTAGATGATTCTGCTACAAACTTTCGTTAGGTTTGCTATACCTATTTTGATTATTATACTCATTCAATTCAAATACGATTTATCTCCTATGGAGCATTTTATTCTTTACCTTTATTTGGTCGATGTCGTTTTCGAGCGACTCACCACGGAGGTTTTAGCGGAGGTTTTTGGCCCTAACTAAATACTTATTATTGGTAAGTACGTGTAGGATATAAATTGGTAGTGAGAAAGCCAGTTTCCTTATGACTTTAATACTTAGTGACAATTTCCTATTGGTTAAGTATGTGACTTCACTGATTATAGTTTTGAATAATTAATAATATTCAATATATAGTGAAGATAAAAGATTATATCAAAGTTAAGTTAGTTAATTAGGTGTAGAAGTGAAGTGAATGAAAACAAGTAATTTATATCTACACTGTTTGGGATTGCAACCACTAAGTTGTGGTTCGCGTACGCCTAATCATAAATACAAAAGTGCGACTCATTGAAGTCTTCAATCGTGCCATGATATTTAGTTAGGGCAAACACCTCCAAAAACCTACGATTCTTTGACATTAGGATGTGGTCCTGGGCCCCAGCCTTCCTGAGTAGCCTTCCTGAGTACCCTTCCCAGCACATTTCATACCTCCAAGGCAAAGAAAACACAATGGCCCTCTTCTTAGTTGCGAGCACCAGTACATCTATGGCCATTTACACTGTGCCCTCTTTACTCATGAATCATCTACCTTGTCATCCTTCACAAACGAATTATTAACCATCAAAAACTCGACCGGTCCGAATTCTTCCATAGCTTGTATGGTATCAGATCTCAGTTGCTGAATTAAAGCGCAATAATCAGTATCCGGATCGTATTCTTCTAAAGACAAAAGCAACGAATCTAGCGTCTCTGGATCTCCAATCTTGGGCAATGGGGTGTCTTGGAACCAAGGAGGTAATTCCAATAAACTTGGATGTCTGTATTTGACAACAGAATAATTCCCAATCGATAACCAAACATCATCAGCGCTTGTTTGCCAAACCATTCCTAAATATTCTAAAGCACATAAGCTGGAAATATTAACATTTGCGAGCCCCTCGCTGTATTTTGCGCCCACTCCGTCGTATTGATAAAGAATATTCAGCGAGAGAGCATTACCGAAGTAACACGTAAGTAGAATAATTAAAAAAAACATATTTGAAAACTTAAGGTAGTTGTCCTTGGGCAGTCAATGGTGCTTTATATAGTCGATTTCAAATGGTTAATTCTTGAATGGCACTTAATAGGAGTTTAAAAGGGCTCCAAAGAATATTTTTAGCCAAAAAAGTTATAGGCTTACCGCAAAAGGCTATTTTTGACAACTATTGGTTGTTTGTTGAAATAATATGCACATTGTCACCTCGAACATATTTATTGTTCATGTATTATTCAATTTTTACGATTTTGACAGGTTATTTTGCTTATTCTTACATTATTTCAGGTATTCTTACATACTTTTTGGCTTATCTCAAATATTTTCTTCATTAAATTGTGATGAACTCGTATTAAGCTGCAATCATATGAAAAATGTCGAATGACCAGCCGATACCAGATGTACGGATGGTTTTACCCTAACCAATGTGCCTGGTGTTAGCACACCTAGTCTCTTTCTATTCGGTTAATAGACTACACTAGACTTAGTAGTAGTATTATTATTATTAGTATACTGTTTTACTGGAACCTCTTATTTCTTCTACATATATACATATCGAAACTTATAGTCAATTTAATTATTATCTTATTAGAATATATCTTTACTTATATTTAGGTATTTATATTATCCTTTATTTATTGTTGTTAAGATTGAAAGTATACTATTTATCATACCTACTAGATTATTAAGTAGTAAAAGTATTTATACAAAAACGGTTACTAGCGATAAATCTAAATACTAGATGTACGGAGGTTTTTGCCCTAACTAAATACTA